GGAGGAGGAGCGGAGGAGGGAGGAGGAGGAGGAGGAGGAGGAGGAGGAGAAGAAGGAGCAGGAGGAGGAAGGGGCATTTCGTAGAGCGAGGCGCAGAGCTGCCGAGCGCTGGTTCGCTAGCCTCCAGGCTGGTGGCGGCTGTACCCTCTTTGAGGGCCGCACCGCCAGCCCTTGGGCCAACGGTCACCCTTGCAGAGGTAACCCTGGGACGCAAACAGTAACCCCCCCGGCGATATCGCTAGCACAGAAAATAAAATAAATAATTATTTTGGGCGGCGCCCTCTGGCGATATCGCTAACACATTCAACAATCAAATAATTAATTAATTTGCCCCCCTCCCCCGGCCCGAAGCCGGCGGCAACGTGAGGCGACAGCCTGAAGAACCAATGCGCACGAACGCTTGCCAATGGGTTCCCGCCTTGCTAGAACACTGGGAAACTGACGCGCATCGGAAATCAAAGGTAAATCAAAAATGACAAACAATGAAACCACCGCAAACAGCTATACTTGAAAGGACCCCCCAAAGGAATCCCAGAGGAATCTCAGAAGGAAGCCCACGCAGAATCTAAAACGAACCCGATTGGAAATTCAAAGTAATCTCAAAGGAACCCAACAGAAATTACAAAGGGATCTCAGCGGCAGCTCAAACGAACCACGAAGGAATCTAAGGAATCTGGAAAACGCGGGCTCGCGTGGACATAAGCAATCCCTATTGCGACGGCACTAGGGAAATTGATTAGATCAGGGGATCCTATGGGAGAGTCCACGGAGAGATATCGCAGACGGATTCCGCGAACCCCCCCGCGATATGTTAGCACATTTATTGAAAATAAAATAATCCAGAGGTCGATGTGATGCTCCCTTCAGGGATTGTCGAAGGAATGTCAGAGGAACCTGAAAGGACCCCCAAAGGAATCCCAGAAGAATATCACAAATAATCCCACGCATGATATCAAAGGAACCAATGGAAGTTCAAAGCAATCTCAAAGGAGCCCAACAGAAATCGCAAAGGCATCTCAGCGGCAGCTCAAACGAACCACGAAGGAATCTAAGGAATTTGGAAAACGCGGGCTCGCGTGGACATAAGCAATCCCTATGGCGACCGCACTAGGGAAATTGATTATTTCAGGGGATCCTATGGGAGAGTCCACGGAGAGATATCGCAGACGGATTCCGCGAACCCCCCCGCGATATGTTAGCACATTTATTGAAAATAAAATAATCCACCGGCCCCGGATGTCGATGTGATGCTCCCTTAAGCAATGGGGCATCAAAGGGATACGACCGGAACCTCAAGGGACCCCCAGAATAACATCAAAGGAACACCAGAGGAGTCTCAAAGAAGTCCCAAAATAATCACAATGGAAACGGCAAGGAATCTCAAAAGAAGCCAATCGGAGTATCAAAGGAATCTCTGGGGAATCTCACAGAAACGCACAGAATCACAGGAAGCGACTCTGGGCAGGTGTGCCTTGTCGCTGGGCTCGGGGGAACAAGGGGACCGGGTATTCAGAGGCTTGTGGAGGCCTTTCTGGATGCCTCCTGGGAACCTCCCGGGACCTCCCCTCCGCGGACCTCTGGTGACCTGCGGAGGATATCGCTTCCGCCCCGGCCCCGGTGCCGGAAGCGTTATAATTTCCTCTGATGAGGGGGGGGGGGGGAGAGGGGTTTACTGATTGCTTCCCAGGGTTAATGCCGTCCAGTCCTCGTAGCTTGAGGGGCAGAGGGAGCAGGAGGAACGAACCCACACATCCGACGTCTCGGCATCGAGGGTCGAAGATGTAGGTTTTGACTCTTTGGTTGGGTCTGCGTTTTGCAAAGCCGAGCCAGAACGGGGCCTAGTCTTGCCAATGATTGAGATTTACTATTGAGGATACCGGGCCAGCGTGATCCGAACCATACACTTCAGAAAGGAGGGTCGAGGGGAGGGAGGAAGAGTACCTCATACCATCCGTTGCTGCCACATCTGGCGACGACGTGCGACGGCAATAACGACCACCACGACGACACCGACTACGACGACGACGGTGTTGACCTTCGCGATCCCGCCCCCACCCACACGACAGGCGCGCCTCGAAATCGGCTGCTTTGATGCGCTTGATGACGTCCTGTGCGGGCATCCTCAACGAGATGGACCAATCACGCTCCGCGCCCAACAGATTCGTTGTTGCCTCTCCTCGCCAGAAGGCCCTCCCCGAACCCGCTCCACAGACCCCTCCCCCGGGCACTGCCCCGACCAGTCTTCCCAGACACGTCCAGCCGCGGCGCCACACCTGGCGCGCGCGAAGCAGGACGGCAACACCCGAGGCACCGCAGCACAGCGCTAGAACACGGGGGCCGCGACGCCGCGCGCCGACACTCGAGCGCCACTCACCCGGTGCGCCGGATGTTCCTGGTCAGACTCCGGGGGAGGCCGGGGAGGGGCCTGCAGATGCCAAGGAAGGACCAGCAACCTCCAAAAGCCTGAATGTCAAATCTTTCTCCTCCTCCTCCTCCGCCTTCTGCTCGTCTTCCTCCTCCTCCTCCTCGTCCTATTCCTCCCCCTCCTCCTCCTGTTCCTCCTCCTCGTCCCCCTTTTCCCTCCTCTTTTTCCTCCACCTTGTTTTCCTCCTCCTCTTCCTCCATCTCCTCCTCCTCCTCCTTCTCCTGAATGTTTCTCTCTTGTTACTCCTACTCCCGCTTGGGTGTGGCGCACATGCTTCGCACGCAAGTTCATTGACGCGCGTTCGGGCGAAAATGTGGTTTTCGCCGCGGCGGCGCGCAGATTTCCCCCGAAAACGACATTCCCGCCCCGCCTCGACGCGGCTAATCTGTTTCATTCGCCAATGTCTGGTGGCCCGCGGGAGCGGGCGATGCGACGCCGTCGCCTAAATTCCATACGCATTTCGCTCGAAAGACGCGTTCCCACGCGGGCGCGGCGCATGGCGCGTTCGCCGAATCGCACGAAAACGACAGAAACAGCGCGGCAACGCGATAGCGGGCGAAATGCCAACGTCGCCCAAGTGCCGCGCAAGTTCAAGTAAAAAGACACTCCTGTGTCAGAGCTGCGTCACTTTCTTTCCCGCCAAGCCCACCAGGGGGGTTGCCGTTCCCGCCCCTGCGCGGCACGCGTAGGGTTCTGTTCGCCAAATCGTCGGAAGCGGGGCCGCGCGCGAACGCCTTCCGTTCGCACCGTTAATGATTTGGTTGTGGGAAGAGGGGGGGAGATGTAGCCCCCCCGACTCGCTCGAACTGGCGGACCTGATGATTCCTACTGCCATCGTTATCCCCTGTTGGCGTGCAGTCTTCTGCCACAAAACCGGCCGATAGTAACCGCATCTGGGATGCCCCTTCCTACCGGGCCCCCCCAAAAAGTTACCATCATGGGCATGATGTCGTCCATGTTGCAAGACGCGTGGCGGAAATTTGGCGGGGCGCACGTCCCGCGCGAAACGCCAACCTGTCGTTCTCGCCTCGGCGCCGCATCCACTGCTTCAGAGGACTGGGTTGCCCCTCGGCCACGGCGCACACTTTTCGCGCGAATCTTTCTCGGCGCGCGGACGGACGGAAATTTAATTCTCGTTTCGGCGCCGCGCAGGTTTCGCCCGAAAGCGGCGTTCCCGCCTCGACGCGGCGCATATGCGTCATTTGCTACTTTTGTGTGGCCCGCGCGAATGGGCGACTTGTCGCCTTCGCGCAAGCTTCGCGCGCATTTCGCGCGGGAATGGCGCTCCGCGCGGGCGTTGTGATGTCCCGCGCGGGCGCCGCGCATAGCGCGTTCGCCGAATCGCATCAACGCGACAACAGCAGCGCGGCCACGCGACAGCGGGCGAAATGCCGACCTCGCCCAAACGCCGCGCAGGTTGCGAGTGATAGTGGCGAACCTGTTTCATTGCGGCGCCTGCGGCGCCTGCGCCGCGCCCGTCGGAAGTTGCGCCGCTCCCGCGCCCGCGCGGCGCGAGTTGCTCTCTTCGCCAACTCGTCCAAAGCGGTGCCGCGCGCGAGCGCCTCTCGACTGCGAGCGCCACATGTCAATCCCATGTTGCGGAGAAGAGGTTGCGATTAGGCGGCCCCCCCCGACTCGTTCGATCTGGCTACCCTGCCCCCATATGTCCATGCGCCCTATCCGCGCGCACTCCCACCCTCTACCCCCAGCGGGCCGATGCGAGCCCGATCCGGAACTCCCCCTCCCACGCGTGGAAAGACAGCAAGCAGCTCCGACGATTTTCGCCCCAACATGAGCATCATGTCGCCCTTGTCGCACAATGCGGGGCGCGCATCCCAACTGAAACGCGAAACCGCGCAGTTATCGCCTCGGCACCGCACCAACTGCGCTAGGACATTGAGCTCCCGCTCGGGCGTCGCGCGCACGTTTGCATGCAACTCTGTCGATGCGCGAGCAGGCGACAATTTAGCATTCGCCTCGGCGCCGCGAAAATTTCGCCCGAAAGCGCTGCTGTGCGCCGCTCGCCAATTTTGGGCGGCCCGCGAGAGTGGGCGATTTGTTGCCCTCGCCCAAGCTCCATCCCCGCGCGGGCGCGGCGCGCGGCGCATTCGCTGGGGCCGCGCGAGATCGGGCGACATGCCGACCTCGCCCAAGCGCGGCGCGTGGTGCGAGTGAAACTGGCGGTGCTGCTTCAGCGCGGCGCACGCTTCGCCTGCGTCGCGCCCGTCGGAAGTTCTGCCGCCCCCGACCCTGCGCGGCCCGCGCAGTTCCCCCCTCGCCAAGTCGTCGGAAGCAGGGCGTGGAAGCGGGGTCGCGCTCCAATCCCAAGAACAAACTGCACCCCGATTAATTCCTGCGTTGTGGAAGGGGGGGGGGGGGGGGGGGGGGCAGGTGGGCTCTCTGCCTCGCTCGACCTGGCCAACTTGTCTCATCGCTCGTGCGCTCGCGTGCCGCGCGAGGAACTCCAATGCAAATGTTTCAATCAAACGATTAATGCACCCGCCTGGCTCGTGAAGCGCAGGAGGAACTGCGCTACAACGTGACGCTTCCCGATTGTACCCGCGGCCCGCGCGCGACTCCGGGCCCCGGGAAGAGCGGCGGGGATCGGCCGCGCGGGCGCCCCGACAGCGCGCCGCCGAGCGGGCGTCGGCGCCGGCGCGTCCGGCAGCGGCAACGCAGGGGCAGACCGGAGCTGGCGCTGCACCCTTCTGCAAAGGGAGGGCGGAGGGAGGGGCGGGGCGGCGAGGGGGGGGGGAAGCGAACTGTGGCGTCGCAGCTGTCGCCGCCGAGAAAAACTCACGTCTGTTTGCCGCGCCCCAGCAGCGACGAGGACGGACAGGGGGGCGACGGCAGGAGGGGGGGAACGAGGGGCGAAATGAGCGGGAGAAGCCGCGCAGCCGGCGGGGGAAGAGTAGCGCGCGCAACGGCGGGGGCCGCGGAAGGGAGGCGACGCCAGGAGAGGAGGAAGCAAGCAGCGGATGGGGTGTGTGACGTGGTTAGACAAGCGTTATTATTGTCCTGTACGCGTCTACCATGCTCGGACCTCCACCTCGTCGACAAGAACCTGGATGCGCTTCTCCAAGGAGCCGCGCGGGGCCTGGCCGACGAGCTGCTCCCTCCCCGCTTCGGGAAATCGACCATGAACTTCTCGAACCGCTCCCTGGAGCACTCCCATGTCAAGGGGGGGGGCCGAGTGGTTCCGGAAAGCGCGCGCGCAGCTTCACCCCCTTGGTCTCGTGGTCGCAGGCTTTCTGCATTTTGAAGACCGGAAAGGCGACGTGACCTTCTCCCCCTCGATCCCCAGTGGGGCCCGCCAGGAGGACCTGCGCGAGGGCCTTCGGATCTGCGGCGCGCTCCACGCGGCCAGATTCTCCTCGCGCGTCGCCGGCGCAAACCTTGAAAGCCTTCGAGGCGATCTCGCTGGGCCAGTGGTTCGGAGGGAGCGAAAACGCGTGGAACGTCGCAGCAATGATCATGCGGATCTCGGCCGCGCAACGCGATCAGCTCATTCGTCTTGCCGCGCGCATCCGCAGAGAAAACTGCCCGACGTTTGGCGGCCGGCCCCTTGCCGGAATCGGTCTCGGCCAGCGCCTCGGCCCAGGCCCTCGTCCGAGAAGTCCAGGGCTAAACCGAAATTGGATGGGGAATGATCCTGGGCGCGCCACTGGCATGCCCCCATAGAGCCAAAAGGCACGCCACACATGAGAGATTGGATGAGTTGCGTAAATTGCATCGGAAACCTTCGCGGAGCCTGTCTCGCCCCGCGGTCCACAATGCTCCCTCCAGAACGACGCCTGCAGGTTGCGACGAGCACTGTTTTGAGTTGCCAAAACCGCGTTGCACGGAAAGCACTGGTTCGATTTCGTGAGAGCCCAAGCCAGTTATTGCTCGCCGTGCTCGCCACCCTGCACGCGCGCTCGATGAGAAAGCAGCTTATGATTCGCACCGAAACGACCTCAACAAACCGACCCGTCAGACAGCAGGAGCTCGCGCGCATGCAAACAACGTGATCTTCCTCTCCCTGATCGTGATCTCCCCCGCCCCTTCCGTCTCCTCCGGGTGGGGCTATGGCGACCGACCGGGGCTCCGAATAAAGAATATTGGGATCTGTGCGCAAGAACGATGTCCTGCCGCGTTCGCAAGTGAAAAGCAAAAGTGGGCAGCGCACGGGCTCTTCGACATCCTCAGCCCCCCAGGCGGCAGCAAGGTCACAGAGGTCATCGGCCAGTTGGCGGGCCCAGACGCTAGCGGAGCCCCGGAAGCGGCCGTGCCCATCCAAAGGCCCCTGCAGCCTGGCGGCCTCGAACCGCCCGAGTAGCTGCCTACCTCCGCATTCGTGTCCCTCTGCGTTCTCGCCCCCGTTCTCCTCCGCCGCCTTCGCCGCGCTGTTCTCTGCCCCCCCCTCGCTTCCCGCTCTATGTCCCCGAACATGATTGCCATGGCGATGGCGCGATGGACGGGTGCTCGCGCAATAGACTGCCACCGCTGTAGCCGCTGGACGAGTAGATTAAGCGCCCGTGGAAAACACCCGAGTGAAGTCCAAACATTATGATTGGCGGCCAACTTCTCATGCCCCACGCCATCGCGCACGACGACGCCACGAGCTCCACGTAGACGCTCCCGGCCAAATCGCAGCCCCTCGAGGTCGAGGCTGCGAAGGTCACCAGGTGTCGCGGCGAACGCCGCCCAGCCGCAGATAGAAAAAATGTCAACGAACGCCTTAAACGCGCTGCAACGGACCCGACGCGGCGTCGAGGGGGGCCAGAACTTGCCCAGCACGCCGCATTGACTGCGCACGGCTGCAAGGCGTCGGGAACGATCCTCTGCAAGACTGCCGCTCTCGTCCAGACAGGGGCCAAAATACCGAGCAACCCGGCGAACTCTGCCAAGCACCACGCCAGACAACGTGCACGACGTCCGAAGCGTGCAGCTGGCTGCCATGCCCGCTGAAGTGGACCGCGGGGTCCTGCTTGGAGACATTATGCGCGAGATCTAGCTGCGTGGCGCCAGCACAAACTCGTTGAGTTCGCGCGACACCTTGCACAAGTCTGCAATGTCGACGACGCGGGCAGCATCTACGCAATCGTCAGCACAGGTGGTGTTGCAGACGGCGATGCGCTCAGGCATGCAATGCACCACGTCTGGTACCCACTTGCACCTGGAATAAATGCGGCGAAAATCAACCTGTCTGTAGTGCGCGCCCAGCTTGTTATGGACAGCGGGCACGAACAAAAAATCAGAAAGAACCCCTCCTGGCAAAGATCCAGACCCGAAAACCATGACAAAGTCGCCCTCCTCACAAGTGACGACCATGACGGCTTTGCGGACGTGTTACCAGACGAAGGACGCATCGAGCGGTTCGAGGAACACGCTGTGGATATAACTGGCGAGCTCCGTGCGCGAGACGCATGCGAAGGCGTTGGTGCGGGTTCTGAACAGCTGTGCCAACGGCCGTCGGGCATGTCGGAATTGATGCCAGAATAGCGCCTGCACAGGAACAGCGGCCTCCCGTCGCACGAACGGAAGATATCCAGTGGCACAATGCCGCGCCAGTGTGTGTGTGTCCCTCGCTGCCAGAGCTGTCCGTAGAACTGCTTGCCGTAACTACTCGTCAAGATGGGAGACACACCAGGTGGTATCCCGGTTGTTTGGATATGATGCACTTTGGCGACCGGAATCATGCCTGGACCACTGCCCGTTCGAGCGACGCACGCGTTCAAGCCCCGCGCCTGTCAGGCGCCGCGGTTGGATACGGTTGGAGTGCAACAGTATCTTCCAGACGGCAGTAGGCACAGATAACGACGGGGGTTGGCGCCGCATCTTGCCACGTTTCCAAATCTGGAACTGTGTCCAGGAATACTCGCGACGAGCTCCGGTCCAATGCTCATCTGAGACTGGTTGTGCTTGCGGCCAGTCTCTGGCCGGCTTGCTTGCTTGCGGCCAGTCTCGTCTGTGTCTGCCGTGCTGACGCCAAGGCACACTCTCGAAGCCAATCTCTGTGGCGCTGAACCCCTCCTGCTCCTCCTCCCTCCCTCGTCCCTCCCTCCTCCCTCCCTCCCTCCCCTCCCTCCCTCCCTCCTCCTCTCCCTCCCCCTCTTGCATCCCTCCCTCCCTTTTCCCTCCTTCCCTCCCCCCCCCCTCCCTCCTCGCGCCCCAAGGGATGGTCCTCCTTGCAGGTCTTCCCCGGCAGCCTCGGGGCAGGCAAGCGCGCTCGCGGCGGGGCAGCAGGAGGTTGCAACCTGGCGCACCACGATGCCCACAAGAGGCCACCTTCAGGGGCCGCAGGGGCCTGCCTCGCCCCCGGGAGGCTCACGTTTTTTCCCAACCGTCCTGTGGTGATAGGTCCTTATTTTGAAGAAACAGCGCCCAGCGTCACACCTCCAGCTTCCCCCTCACTCCTCCTCCTCCTCCTCCTCCTCCTCCTCCTCCTCCTCCTCCTCCTCCTCCTCCTCCTCCTCTAATTCCTCCTCCTCCTCCTCCTCCTCCTCCTCCTCCTCCTCCTCCTCCTCCTCCTCTCATCATCCTCCTCCTCATCCTCATCATCCTCATCATCATCATCATCACCATCACCACCACCACCACCACCACCACCACCACCACCACCATCACATCATCATCATCATCATCCTTCATCATCATCATCATCATCATCATCAGCATCATCATCATCAGCATCAGCATCAGCATCATCATCATCATCATCATCATCATCATTATCATCATCATCATCTTCACCATCATCATCTTCTTATGTATCATTATCACCATCACCATCCCCATCACCATCATCATCATCATCATCATCACCATCATCGTCATCGTCATCCTTAATCCTTCTCTTACTCCTGGTCATCCTCCTCATCGTCATCGTCATCATCAGCATCATCGTCATCACCATCATCATCATAATCATCATCATCATCACCATCATCATCATCATCATCAGTAGCATCATCATCATCATCATCATCATCATCATCATCATCATCATCTTGACCATCATCTTCATCATCTTGTTCAGCAGCATCATCATCAGCATCATCAAAATGATCAGCATCATCATCATCAGCATCATCATCACTGTCGGCAATATCATAATCATCATTATAACCACCATGCATCATCATAATCACCATCATCATCATCATCATCATCCTCATCCTTATTCCAATCCTCACTCTCATCCTCATCCTCATCCTCATCAGTATCATCCTGATCCGCATCCTCATATTCATCAACACCACCATCACAAAAACTACCACCACCAGCATCAGCAGCATCATCATCAGCAACAGCATCATCGTCAGCATCATAATCATCATCAACATCAACATCATCAGCATCGTCACCGTCATCACCATCATCATCAGCATCATCAGCATCATCATCATCATCATCATCATCAACATCCGAATCATCATCAGCATCAGCATCAGCATCAGCCTCAGCATCATCATCATCATCAGCATCATCGTCATCATCATGATCATCATCATTATCATCATCGTCATCACCATGATCATGATCATCAGCTCGAGACCCCCTGCAGATCCCTGGAAATTCCCTCTGAAGGTCCATCAGGAGACCTCTCAGAGAACCCCTGGAGATCCCCCCAGAGACCCACCCGGGAGACCCCTGGGATAACGCCTCCAAAAGGGCCGACGGTAGCGACGGCTGCGGTAGCGACGGCGACGACGACGACGATGACGACAGCGACGGCGGCGGCGACGGCGGCGAAGACGGCTGCCGCGATGACGACGGTGACGACGACGATGCCGACGGCGAGTGCGACGGCGACGGCGGCGACGACGACTGCGGCGTCGGTGGCAACGACAGCGACGACGGCGACGCCGACGACTGCGGCGGCGACTTTTTCGGCGACGCCACCGATGACGGTGACGACGACGGCGACGACGGCGGCGACAACGGCGCCGACGGCGGCGATGAAGGTGGAGACGACGACGGCGACGACGACGACGACGAGGACGACGACGACGACGACGACTACTGCGACGACGAGCGTGGCGATGACAGCGACGACGGCGGCGACTTCGGAGGCCTGTACACATGTAGTGGGCGAGGGGGAGGGGCAGGGGAGGGACAGTGTCAGACGAAAAGGGGGAATAGCAAAGGAGGAGGGTAGCGAATCAACTCACGTAGCTGGCTTCCCTAGCCCCTCCTGACGCTGGAGGCGCCTGTGCATCGACGCGGAAACCCTGGCGGCGGAGCCGAAACCAGCTGCTCGCGGCAGGTTTGGTTCCCCCACTCTTTCCCGATCTGGGGAGCCCACAAACAGGATGAGAGCGCCCAGCCACGCACATGAATGCGACCCCCCAGTCCACGAGGCCGGACGGCATCGTGCTACGAACGCTCGCGCAACGCGCAACGAACGCTGGCGCAACGCGCGATCCATTGATTTATGCGTGCGTCTCTTGTTCGCCACTAAATCATGTACGGCGTGCAACTTCTTGGACGACAGAAATGGGTACAACAAAATTGTGCACGATGCCCAACAACACAAATGTTGTCCAAAACCGACATCGGCCGCAATTGGGCAGGCGACCTTCTGTCTCAAAGGGAGAACGTCCGTGGCGGCGCGGACAGCGAGTCCTGTTCCAAATGAACAGAAACTGCTGTTGGACATTGCATCCATTCTTTCCGTACCCACTCCGATCGACCCGATGCCCCCATTTGTCCGACCCCACTGGGGGGAGCAGCCCTGCGGAGGGGGGCGGTCGGCCGGGCTCTTCGTCCACGAGGGGGGCGCCCAGGAGAGGGGGGGCTGCGAATCATGGCCCGAAGCACGTGCGCGGCCCCAGGGGGCGGTGGGGGGCCCAGGCCCCCAGGCCCGCCTCGCCACAGAAAGGTGCGCGATCTGCTGACACCATGTCTGCACAATCTGTTGGGAAACAGTCCCAAACTGTGGTGAAGCGCGCCACGTAGTTCTTGGCGCTGCGTCTTCGTGTTTGTAGCCGCGCACGCCTGCCAGGGAAAGGAAGCCAGGAGGGATGGGGGCCCAGGGGACGTATCGAGACAAGAAGAGGGGCCAATGAAATCTGGGGCGCTGGTATGGACCTGGCCATGATATCGACCTCCCTGGTCATCCGAGCTCTGGGCGCCTGAAGGGGTTCGTGCCGGTCAGTATGACGTAGAGCACCACCCCCAAGGACCTGCCCGGCGGTCGGGGTTGGCGGGGCAGGCGGTGGAGGTGGCGGCGGTGGAGGAAGAGGAGGAGGAGGTGGAGAAGAAGGTTGAGGGCGGAGGTAGAGGAGGAGGAGGAGGAGGAGGAGGAGGAGGAGGAGGAGGAGGAGGAGGAGGAGGAGGAGGAGGAGAGACCAGTCCGGCCCAGCAGAGCTTGGCCAGGCGCCAGTGCAACCCACCCACCCCTGGGAGCAACCGCAATTCGGTCTGGGCCTGGACGGGGGGAGCCTGGAGGAGGAGGAGGAGGAGGAGGAGGAGGGAGGAGGAGGAGGAGGAGGAGGAGGAGGGAGGAGGCAGGGAGGAGGAGGAGGAGGAGGAGGAGGAGGAGGAGGAGGAGGCAAGAGGGGCGGCCCTGGGCAGGAGTGGCCGTTCTGGTGCGCCGTGCGCCGATCGCTGCGCGCGGTGCGGCAAGAGCGGCCTGCAGGCCTGGCCTGTCGCGAGCGGCGCACGCGTCCGTGCCCGTGCCCTCGCGGCCTGGACTCCGGGGCGCGGTCCTGCGGATGCGCGGTGGCACGGATACGTTCCGCGCAGGGCGTCCGCGAAAAAGAGCACACGTATCATCCGCGGGGTCGCTGCCCGGGGGCCCTGCCCGCGAGGCCGCGGATACGGATATGTTCTTCGCCCACGAATCCTGGCACCCCCGCACACACACACACACTCACACACACACACACACTGCACCTCCAAAGCTGCGCACCAAAGGTCACTCCGGCGAAGGGTCACTCTCACATGTAGCGGCGCTCTGGGGCCGCCTCCTCCCCTGGGAAGGGGCAACGGCACCGTGGGCCTCTGCGAGGGCCGTGGCGACAGCACGGCAGAGGATGTCCACCTATATGGAGTGGAGCTCCTACTTCCTCCCTCCACCCTCCTCCCTCCTCTGCAGCTCGCTCCCTCACTGCCTCCTTCCTCCTCCTCCTCCTCCTCCTCCTCCTCCTCCTCCTCCTCCTCCTCTATCTTCCATCCCTCCTCACCTCTATCCACTACCCCCCATTATTCGTGGCGCCTTCCTCCCCGTTCTCACCTCCCTCCCTCCACCCCTCCTCCCTCCTTTCCATTTTCCTTCCGTCCGTCCTTCCTTCCTTCCTTTCCCTCCTCCCTCCTCCTCCTCCTCCTCCTCCTCCTCCTCCGCCTCCTCCTCCTCCTCCTCCTCCTCCTCCTCCTCCTCCTCCTCCTCCTCCTCCCCCTCCTCCCCCTCCGCCTCCTCCTCCTCCTCCTTCTCGTCCTCCATCTGTGCATCACTGGCTAACTCCTCCCTGCTCGGATCCTATAGCCTATACCACTGCCCCATTCCCCTCTATAGCCTTCCCCTCCTGCGACCACGAGTATTACTCCCAACACCAAGTGTAACACTTTGTGTTCCACGACTGATCACCACGACGATAGCGAAACGACCACCACTACAATCGTCGAACAGTCGTGAGACATTTGACTGTCCCTCCCTGTTTGCCCCTCCCCTGGGGTCAAACATCCCTTTCAAGGAGGGGGGGGCGCCTGGGGGGAGCCAACTCGTGAACGCGCCCCTGGGGCCTCTGGACAACGCGGCAAGGCAGTCCAAGAGAGCGTCGAAACGGCCCAGGGTAGCACCACGACGGTCCAAGATGGCTTCAAGACGGCCAACGACGCTTCCAAGAGAAGAGCGCTCCCAGAGGACCGCCGAGAGGTTCCCATGAAACAGAAATCAGAACATTCCCCTCAGAAGGTGTATGTGCTTTACCCGCAATGTTGGTTTTGACAGCGGCCAAGACGGCCTAGTGGGTCCCCAAGCTTGTCCCGCGACGGCTCATGAGGTCCCCAGGAGGGCCCCCGCACGGCCAAGGAGGGCTCCGAGACGGCCCCAGGGGGCCCTAAGACTGCCAAAGAGAGCTCCAACTGACATGTTGAGCCGTTCCGCCCAATATGGCTCCGAGTCCCCGAGAGGCCTGCGAGGCGCCCCCAAGAGGCCCCAAGTATGACCCCGAGAGGCCCCCAAGAGACCCCCAAACAATCCACCCCAATGCCCCCAAGACCGTTCCAAGAGGCCCCGCAAAAAACGCCTCGCGAACCGCATCTTGGAATCTGAGCCTTGCGTGGTGAAGAGAATAAATCCGGAGAGAGAGAGAGAGAGGGAGAGAGAGGGAGAGAAAAAAACACCCTCAAAGATCAACCGCACATGAAGTAATACGCATGGAAACGAACAGAAGCCACCAAACAACTTCCATGCGATCCTCCCTCCTCTTGGGGGTCGGCGGAATGGCGTAAGCCTCTTGAATACCTTGCAGCAATCGATCGGACGTCCATTCCCCGTGCATGTGTCGTTTTCGTGCGTGTCTGTTTGGCCCGATTATCCAGGATGCTCGTCAATGGTCATCGCCGAGAAAAAAACACGTCCGAACGATGCGCGCCAAGATGTGGCAAGCATGTCCGGAACGGAGGGGCGCACGGGACCCCTGCGCCGAAGACGCATCCCTTCCGACGGCGGGCCATCGCCGACAATTGCCCGATGCCTTGGCCGACAACTGGCGCCGACCCGTCAACTCTCTTCCCCTCCTGTGCTCCCCCTGTAAATTTGTTTGTTTCTTCTGTGTTTCGACAGTTGGCCGGAGGGTGGGGAAGAGCGGGGGTATGGGTCTGGGCCAGTGTTTGGTCGATCTGCTTCTACCAGTCGCGCAAGCAAACTGGGGGGAGGGGCCCTGACCAGTCGCCAGAAACCAGCCGCCAAAAACAGACAAGATTTGGTCTAACCTTGAATGGTCTTTGCCCCCCCGTAGGGTGTAACTAATCCGAGTGAGGGAGCCGAACGGTCATTCATTGTCCCTGGGTGCGTGGCTGAAGTGGGGATCCGTGGTGAAGATTCTGCTTGTTGCGTTGTTGTTTGTTGTCGTCGTCCCACCCGCGACCCACCTCGCGACCCACCCCGCGACCCACCCGCGACCCACCCCGTGACCTACCCCGCGACCCACCCGCGACCTACCCCGCGACCCACCCGCGACCCGCCCGCGACCCACCCCACGACCCACCCGCGACCCACCCGCGACCCACCTCGCGACCCATCCGCGACCCACCCAAAGACTCATTTGCGACCTAACCCGCGACCTATCCCGCGACCCACCTGCGACCCACCCGCGACCCATTTGCGACCCATTTGCGACCCAACCGCGACCTATCCACATTGGTATAACGAATCTTGACCGCATCTGCGGGGTGCTACGTTGTTTGTTCGGTGGCCTTATTGACGGACTGGGGTTCCACCAACAGGGGGTAACTAACTATTTTCTTCGGCGGCTGAGAAGGATGAGGAGGGAGGAGGATGAGGATATTCTAGGACCTGTCCTTTTCACCGCCGAGGGAAAGGGGGGGACGGGAGCCCGCGCCGATCGGCGAACTGCCCAGCCGAGAGGCTACCCCTGTCGCAGCACCCGGCATGTCGCTCAGAGAGCTCCAAGAGCGCCCCAAGAGAACCCCAAGATGGCAAGACCACTAACTTCTGTGAGCCCCAACAGCGCTTTGGGCGTAGGTGGTCTAACCAGTTCATCCATTCCTCTTCCAAAACCCACTTCCCTTCGGGGGGGGATACCCTCCCCATCCCCTCCCTCTATTTTTTGAGGGCCTCCGATGCTCCAGGATGGCCTCCAAGGCGGCTCAACAGAACCGAAGATGGTTCAATATTGCTCCCGACATACCTCCAAGACACCCGACGATGGCCACAAGATAGATCCAAAGGCTCTCGGAGCACCTTTAGGATCCCCCCCGAGAGGCCCAAATCCTTCAAACACCTGAACGTGCTTTCTCGCACGTTCATTTCCGATGCGCTTCTAAGGCCTCACGATTGCCCCCAAGGTGGCCCAAAGAGAGCAGGTGCCCCCAAAGCGGCCCCAAACAGCCCCAAAGATCGGCTCAGGAGCGTCCCAAGAGCGCACCAAGAGTCGATGCTGATGGCCCCGGGGGGGGACCCCAACTCTTTTGATCGACAGCCCCTAAGATGGCCCCAAGAGGCCCTTCAGGGCTCCCAAGAGGGCCCCAAGGCGGCCCCAAGAGTTCCCCAAGAGCGTCCCATAAGGGCCCCAATTGCTTCCTCCTCCTCCCCCCCAGCGAGGGGGCTACAAACCCGTCCTCGTCCTCCCCTCGCCCCAGTTCTCCATGGATCAGCCGAGCTTTGTTTCAACTATATGTGTCTCTTCGTCTCTTGAAGCCCGCCTCTTACCCCCCTTTTTTGAGTTCCAGAAGCTTCCCCCCTCCCCCCTCTGCCACCTCTGCCAGAAGCCCTCCCCCCTATTCCCCCTATCCCGCTCGACCCCTGCAAGCTGCCCCCCCTTGAACCTCCTAGGCTGGAAATGCCTGCCACCCCCCCACAATGACGACGACGACGACGACGACGACGACGACGACGACGACGGCGGCGGCGGCGGCGGCGGCGGCGGCGGCGGCGGTGGCGGCGGCGGCGGCGGCGGCGGCGGCAGGGGGGGGCAGGGGGGGGGGCGCGCAAATCATGGCCCGCGGCACGTGCGCGGACGAGAGGGGAACCAGGGGACATACTGAAACAAGAGGAGGAGCCATGGAATCTGGAGAGATATCATGGCCTCGGCCATGATATCCAACCCCCTCCGCCTGGTCATCGCCCCCCTCTAGAACGCCACTGATCTTCCTCATCGGGATCTCATTACTGACCCCGGTCAATCCAAACCTGGGTCAGTCAGGCCTTGAGGCCTTGCAGGATCCTGCAAGATCATGCAAGGTCCTGCAGGAGCCTGCACGCTTACCAGGGTCAATGCGCCCCTGGCTCTGCAGGATCCTCCAATATTTGGCGCTCTGACTGACCCCTTTCGCATTGATCCCTTGATCCCCGTCTTTTGAGCCTTGACCCCTCTCATTCCCCGGCGAGCCAGGAAGGCAGACGGCTCGTCGGGAGCGATGGCAACCCCCACACTGGGCGCGAGCGAGGCGGGCTTGGGCTGTTCGCTGCCACGACTCTCTCCTCCTCAACGTCGCTCTC